TCACTTAGTACTTTGACTCAACACCTTTATCAGAAAGAGTGGCTCATGACTTTTAAGTCAAAGAGTGAGAGGCATGGACACATTTAAATAATTAGATCATGACAATAAGTGCGAGACCTCAGTGTTCATTGTAGTGTACTGTATATTTAACGTGGGACTGTAATGCAACTAATTTTAGCGTTTCACAATATTAGCTTTGCAAACAACCTGACTGACACCATTGACAAAAGAAATCAAAGAATATACATCAATATAGTTAACATCATTTAAAAACACACTGTTACTGACAAAATACACGCATAAAAAGAGACAATAGATGTGTAAATACTAGTCCAGAATAGAAACACTCATTTATTTAAAACTTTATTTTATGTTTCTCCTTTTAAGACATAATACAGGTATGTACATACACAACCTATTTGAGACTCATCATCCAGGGAAAGCAAATGAAAATTAAGATTGCTTTGAGTGAAGAAATGATAATGTACTAAAACAAGGAAATTAAACACTCATTGTCAATAAAAAAAAAATGTCTACTTAAAAAAATGTGCAAATAATAGAAGACACACAGCAAAGATTCTTTCTAGAAACAAAGATTTTATAGTGGACATGAAAGTTGACCTGGCTTTTACCTTTCTGCATTCTGTGAGTCAGGTCATCAACCAATCAAATAATTTTTAAGGCCTGCCATTCATCAATGTGTTTTTCACTCTAGGACCTCCAAATTTATAGACAGAGCAAGAACACAGTATACATGTACCCGTATCGAACAGTTTCGAACAGTGCTTTAGGTTTAATCGGTGGATCTGTGTTTGACTACTCCACCTACTGTAGGCTGCATTTCTGAGTGCAGATCCACTGAGAAACTTGCTGTTTCAGTAATATTTAATTTAAAAACTGTACTTTTGAGGTTAAACAAATGTTCATAATGATTTTTAATAAATTACAAGTTAAAAGGGGCATGGAAATTTCTCGTTTGTATCGAAAAATATCGAACCGTGAGACTAAAGT